GTTCTGTTTAGAAAATGAATTCTGGTTAAGTAGGGGTGTGGGGTGGAGAGTGGGGGCAGTATAGAAGGGTGAGTATGAAGTGGGATGAGTGGATGAACGAGCTTTTGGATGTGAGAGTCATGCTGCTGCTACTGAGCATCAGAGGCAGCATCGAACAGGATGGTGTAACACAGTGTGGAGCTGGGGGAACACAGCAGGCCAGGCAGCATCAGAGGAACAGGAAAGCTGACGTTTCGGGTCGGGACTCCTCTTCTTTCTGACTCCAGCATCGACAGTTCTTACTATCTCTGAACAGGATGGTGTCAAGCTTTTTGAGTGTTGTTGGAGCTGCAGTCATCCAGGCAAGCGAGGAGTGTTCCATCAGACTCATAATTGTAGCTTGTAGATGATGTGGAGATGCTCACAAAGAAGAAGTTCTGAGTGCGATCTGAAGAATGGGCTTAATGTCTCTGGAAGTGAGTCTTTGAACTTTGGCATTGATGCAGCTCTGGCTTCACATTGAAACTGTCCCCCTCTCCAGGAGAGCAAGTCTCCCCCTGCCGACATGATCAGGAATGAGTGAAAATCTGGCTTTGAGATTGACTTTTTATTCTTCTAAACCTCCAAACCCAGGAAGCTGTAGTCTACTAATCTCTGATGCAGTTGAAGTTAAATTGTTCTGTAGGAACCAGAGATTGTGTATAGGCACTTATTAGTTTGTATTGCTGAGGGCATTTATAAAACCATTAGAATTTGATTCTGCGAGAAATCAAAACTGAAAGTAAGTAAATTTATTGATTGAACTATTGGGTGAGCTATCTTAATGCAATGAGTCATACGTGTTGATTTACAAGAAACATATATTCATAATTTAAAGTGTTATTTTACAAAAGTAAAGGTGTATGTTATTTTAAATATATGACTAGTCCAAAAAGACTGGAGCATTCAATTCCAATTTTGTTCAGACCTTGTACTGTATATTTTAAAATATAAACCAAATTATGAAAATACAGCTTTAGCAATCCTGTCAAAAACCCATTTTACTGTAAAATGAATCTGTCTGGATATATCAACGGAGTAGGGATTCTGTATAAATAAAGTACTGCAGATTCTGAAAATTTGAAATAAACCAGGAAGTTTGGAAAAAAATCAGCGGATCTGGCAGCATCTTTGGAGTAAGAAACAGAATTAATGTTTCAAGTCCAGTGACTTTACTTTGACTCAAAGTCAATGGACTCAAAATGCTAACTCTCTTTCTCCCTCCTGTGACTGCCAGATCTGCTGAGTTTCTCCAGCCTTTTCTGTTTTATTTAGGAATTGGAATTACTTTGCACTTGTCACCCTGATAGTGAGCTTATTTTTAACTGATCAGGACAGATTCAGTTTCAGAGTTGTACTCAGCTACATTCAGAATGATTTTTGCAAAATAAACTTACTTTTTTATGGGTGTTTGCTAAACCATAAATACATCAATATCTGGCTCTCACTGCTACACTTTAAATAAAAATATAAATTTTGTGTGGTGTTATGTGTCTTACATACATTAAATGAAAACCTGGAGAGTTCTAAATGCAATTAGTAGAATGCATTCATGAAATCACATGCAGTTACATGCCAGAGGAATTATGTGAACTCAGTCCCTTTTATTTTAATGGAGAACCTAGTTTGTGTATTCTGAGGTCTGTTTTCATTTTGGCATACCCAAAGGAATCAAGTATTTATGTGTAGTATCTTTAGAACCCATACCATGGGAACAGACTCTTGATGTCCCCCCTTCCCCTCCCAAAAATCTAAAATTGCAACTAAAAATACTTGAAACATATCACTTCACTCACATCACCGAGGTTGTAGTTGTATTGCAGTTATTTCATAGCATCCCTACAGTGTGGAAGCAGGCTATTCAGCCATCAAGTTCAACATGCAAACTCCACACAGACAGTCGCCCAAGGGTGGAATTGAACCCAGGACTTTAGTGCTCTGAGCCATCATGCCACCCTATGATACCAGAGGTTAGGAGTTTCAAGTATATGAGCTTGGTTTTATTAACTTGTCATCAAATAGCTGTGCATTCCAGGGGTGGGGGCATTGTTGGTGATCAGTGATGGTGACAGTGGAGCAGGAGCCTAAAGCAACTGTGGCATTTATCAAAAAGACTAGTGAATTAATAACCTTTCTCACAAGATTATTGGAATTGAAAAGTGAGGAAGTAATGCTTCATTAGTACAGGGCTTTCGAACCTCATCTGGAGCACTGCTTTTAGGTACTGAATCTCACCAAAAATATATTGGTCTTGGAATTTATACATTGCAGATTCACTAGAATTATATCAGGTAAAAGAGTTGTATTATTAGGACAGGTTATAGAAAGTTGGTTTTTATTCCCTGGAGCATGGTTGAGGGTAATCTTATCAAGCTGTTTAAAATGATCCAGGAACTTGATAGAGTATATATGCAGAGAAATTATTTCCACTGGAACAGGAGCGCATAATCTTAAAATTAGGGCCAGGTCATTTGGAAATGAAATCAGGAAGTGCTTTTTCATTCAAAGGATTATGGAAATCTGGAATTCACTCTCCCAAAAGGACATTGATGCTGCGACAATTGAAATTTTCAATATTGATGTAATGCAAGCGCATCGAGGTATATGGATCAAAGGTGGCCAAGTAAAGTTGAGTTACAGCTCATCAGTGAACTAACAGAATTTTGAAAGAACATAGAGGTGCTGAATGTTTATTTCCTGTGAAGTTGCCACTTTGTTTAACACCCAGAGTAACTGATGGATCAACTGCAATCTAATTGCATGGTAATTTCTGGCAAAGTGTTGGAGCAGTTACATTGACCATCTCAATTTTAAGTTTGGTAGCACCCTATTTCTGCTGGATAGAGGATTTTAAAATCACCCCTCAAATCTTGCCATGAATTGAATAAAATCTGTTAATCTGTCGACAAGCATCATTGGAGCATCTAAGGTACAGCCATCTTCAGTTGGTTTAATTTAAGGCTGGAAAACTGCTAGAACAACCAGGTCTACCATAGATGTGACTCTAGTGCACACTAAATGGTAGATGCCATTTCAAGTCACTGAATTATTCAGGTCAACTAACAGTCACTTAGATCCAGAAATAAAATGAGACCATCCAACAGAAGTCTTCATTTAAAAGGTCACAATATTATTATACATTTAATCATGAGACACACAGTTGTAATACCAATATTAATATATACTTTTATTTTAAGTCAGTTGTCAACTGAAACACCCTGTGGTTCTCACATTTTTGACTTCGATTTCCAGATACTTCAAGTTGATTCTTTCCACAAAGAATGAGTCTGAATCTAATCTGGAAATCCAAGCTTATCTGAATTTCTCCTGTGCAGTGGAGCCAGGCCAAAATTAAGGCTTGCTGGCTTGGGAATACTAATTTTCTGCTGAATGGTACATCTTCTAAGATATCAGAGCTGAAGCGAAACATGGAGTTGAGCCACGTTTCCACTGTTAGTATTGATTATGATGGTTATTAACATTTTGAATATGGCTATGAGGTAAATACAACCATATGTCAGTTTGTACTTAACCAAAACAAGGCCAGTAGACCCATTCCTACTTACTAATTTATTTTTTCTACAGGTGAAGTCAGAATTTTTATTTATTCATTTATGGGATGAGGGTGTCGCTGGCTGGCCAGCATTTATTACACATCTCTAGTTGCCCTTGAGAAGGTGGTGGTGATCTGCCTTCTTGAATTGCTGCAGTCCACCTGCTGTGGGTTGACCCACAATGCCCTTAGGGAGGGAATTCCAGGATTTTGCCACAGCAGCAGTGAAGGAACAGCGATGTATGTCCAAGTCAGAAAGGTGAGTGGCATGGAGAGGACCTTGCAGATGGTGATGTTCGCATGTATCTGCTGCCCTTCTCCTTCGAGATGGAAGTGGTCACAGGTTTGGAAGGTGCTGCCTAAATCTTTTGTGAATTTTTAGAGTGCATTTTGTAGATAGTGGTATAGTACTGAGCTTCGTTGGTGGAGGAAGTGGATGCTTGTGGATGTGGTACCAATCAAGCAGGCTGCTTTAGTCTGGATGATATCAAGCTTTTTGTGTTGCTGGAGCTGTAGCCAACCAGGCAAGTGGGGAGTATTCTATCACACTCCTGACTTGGGCCTTTTAGATGATGGATAGGCTTTGGGGACTCAAGAGGTGAGTTACACACTGCAGTGATCCTAGCCTCTGACCTGCTCTTGTAGACACTGTGTTTCTGGTCAGTGGTAACCCCAGGATATTGATAGTGGGGGATTCAGTGATGGTACTGCCATTGAATGTCAAGTGACGGTGGTTAGATTGTCTCGTGTTGGTGATGGTCATAGCCTTGCATTTTCACATGATGATTTCCACATCAACCTGTTCTGGTATAGATTGTTAATTTTATTCGAAAACTTTTCATAATATAATACTTATGCAACGTAAACATGTTGTACAACAAGATTGGTAAGTTCCTCTGAATGGTTGGTTCCCTCCAATTTAAATTTAATCATTCATTTATTGTGGAAGCCATTTCAAACAGCAAAACAATTAAGTGTTGGGTAGCACTAAAATTGAGGAGATTAAGAGTTTAGATTTTGATGGTATTTCTCTGAATTGAATTGAATGAGTTATTGACACTTGTATTTAACAAATAAATAGTAAAAAATGTAATATGTCACCATGCTCTCAATAACTTAAAGAAGATATTAAGATATCAGACTGAAATTAAGATATAAGACTTAACTGTAAGAAAAACAGAGTTCATCTTCCTCCCTTCTTGTGCCCCGCTCAACATCGGTGGTGGGGGGGTGGGGTGCATCTGTTGCTGCCAGTAGCAACATTTGGAAGCATTAAGAATCGTAGTTTGCTGCACAGTCATTTTTGATCACTATGGGATATGGACAGGTTGGCGAAAGTGCCATTTCAGAAAGGTGAAAACCATTTAAAAACAGTTGAAAGTCAGTGAGATGTATTCATGGCTAATGAACTGTTTCTTGTTGCTTCCAGGTTGAGGTGACAGATGTTCCATTTCATACAATTACTGATGCATATATGGGAAAAGAACACATTATACAAGTTGCTGCTAAGGACAGCGAGGTTGGCACTTGGAGTGAATGGAGTAAAGCTGTACATGCTACACCATGGACACCACTGGTGCCAACGAATGAGCCTGAAAAGAAACCCAACAATGGTAATGGAGCTGTCAGGTTCTTTGTTTCATACCTCGTCTGAAAGTCTGGTGAAGCTTTAACATGACAAACATTGGCAGCATCCTTAAAATTATGTCTGGTGGAAGAGAGAGAAATTTGCTGGTGTCTGCCACTGGCGCATGTGTATGTGAATATGTCTTTATGTGTATCTGCATGTATAGGTGCACACATATGTGTTCCTAAATTTTTTTCAAAATTCATTCACAAGCTGAGGACGTCGCTGGCTAGGCCAGCATTTATTGCTCATCCCAGAGGACAATTAAGAGTTAACCACATTGCTGTGGGTCTGGAGTCACTTATAGGCCAGACCAGGTAAGGATGCAACAAAAACAGAAGTTGCTGGAAGAACTCAGCAGATCTGGCAGCATCTGTGAAGAGAAAATCAGAGTTAACGCTTCGGGTCCGGTGACCCTTCCTCAGAACTGGCACTTCCCTTCCATAAAGGACATTAGTGAACCAGATGGGTTATCCCAATAATAGACATGGTTATCAGTAGATTCTTAATTCCAGATCCTTATTAAATTCAAATTGCACCATCTACCATGGTGGGATTCAAATTCAGGTCCACAGAACAATACCTGGGTTTCTGAATTAACAATCCAGCCATAATACCATTAGGCCATTGCCTCCCTAGAATACATTATATGGTATTTTTGAAAATATTGGAAAATAAAATATGTTATTTTAAGACCTGACATTACATTTATTCTGTGTACACGCTGTCCTGGCTAATAGCACTTACCAAGGTTGAACCTAAAATTCTCCTAACTTTTGCAGTTCAGTGGCATGATTGATCCTATAACAGCACACTTATTAAGGAGGAATTTTAATCTATTTTACCAACAGAAACTGGGTGGGACATGTGATAAATTCTAAGTGGTGTGCTTCCTTTCCCACCCTGTGGCCTATTTCAACAATTTCTTTTTATGGATGGTTGCAAACACGTCTGATTTTGGTAGGAGACACATGAATAAATGTCAATTTAGCTGGTCAGTAATCTCATTAGGACGCAACATAAGTTTTGACTGTCTGTGTGGAACATCTATATGAACACCCAGTTAAATATAGCAGGCACACGGCAGAGCCCTGATCATATAAATACAAAACCTATTGTTGTGATCCTAGGGTAAGGAGCAAACACAGAAACTACTGGAAACACTCAGTGGGTCTGGTAGCATATTGAAGGGCCACTGGACCCGAAACGTTAATTCTGCTTTTTCTCCAGAAATGCTGCTATATCAGCTGAGTTTTCACAGCAATTTCTGTTTTTGCTTCCACTTTCCAGTATCTATTTTGTTTTCATCCCAATCCCTGTGATTTACTTAGCTGCTGGCCTAGGATGCACAATCCTCCCAAGCAACAATCTGGCAAGCTGCCTCTGAATGCTGTTTCAGGCAAACACCTCATTATCAGAATGTGCCCAAGACCCAACCTTTAAATGGTTTGAATCTCACACTACACGCAGCCCAGGCGATTGCCTGTATGTCCCATGCAGGTGTCAAAAGCTACCACACTGTCATCACCAGCTCCACCTCATTGCCCCCAGTTGTATATACAATTACAATGGCTTTAAAAATTTAAATAACAAGTGAAAGCTGCATCACTCTACCAGATTTGTGTTTGCTGAAGCACAAGATGATAATTTGGATAGAAATGATGTGCAGGGGTATGAGGAAAGGCATGAAATTGGAATAGAACTGGAATAGGAACAATGGGCCGAGTGGCCTGTTTCTGTGTTGGAACAATTTTGTGTTTCTGTGAATTGGCTATTGCAATTGCTTACAGAATGTCCTGCTCCTGGGAGATTCAGTAAACCATTAAATAAATGGATGTTGTGCTTTAGATCCTAACATGGGGCTTTCATGACTGAGGTAATAAAGAAGGAGAAAAATAATCATAATGCAACAGATCCTGTGGGGCTCTATAGCGCACTGTTTCTTGATGCCAAATAATTGTTTCTATTTCATGTATCACAAAATCCCATAAAACATATAGCAATTTAATCTATTAATGGTGGTGATGGTGATTGAAAGAAATATTAATCAGAACACAAAGAAAGCCCTTTGCTTTCCTTTTAACGGTACGATGTAGTTGTTTAAATTATGCCAGGGCCCACTGTAAAGTAGGACACCTCCAGTAATGCAGCACTTTTCCAATACCAGAGGCAGCCTCAATTTATATGAGCCTAAGCTTGAAGTGAGACTTGAACTCATGATCTTTTGACTGAGCTGCAGTAGCATCAGGACCAATCTGACAACTATTATTGTATACTAAAATAAGGATGCTATTGATTTAATGAATCTTTGATTGTTATGACAGTTTCAGAACCTTTTCATATTACAACTCCAAGCGTTAGAGCCAACCGGCAAAATAACAGTTCCATGAGAATGGAATCATCCGCGACACTGCTCCTTGGCATAATGGTGGTTTTATTTATCTGGTAAGATACGATATTCTGTTATTTTCTGAATTATATTTTCATACAGGAGGTGCATGCAGAGTGAAGCAATTATGTAACCTTTCAAGCAAATGTTCCAATTGTAAGCTGAGTTGTAATTTTTGGAGCTAATACAATTACTGCGACATTCTGGGTGTAACTTTAATAGTGTCCCTGACCTTGACCTTACATTTGGCAATCTTGGCACAGGGATCAACGTTGCTGACATTCTTCATCCATTACTTAGAATGAACAAACTATCCAGCTGGCTATCAATCCAGAATGACATCTGACATCTGTGCTTCAGTTCTCACCGTGCATTGCTGTCATACAGAGTCATGCATGGGGATTGGGTGGGGGCTTGGTGGTTATTGCTAATTTATAAAGGTTAGCTTCTAATTTACTGACATGCTGCCAACAGTATATAGCTGACAATTGCTGAAATAAATATAGACTGAATTTTTGAAGGGTATCAGAGATTTCACATCAGCCACCAGCAGGCTGTTTGCCGGCAATATCGCACGCCCCAAACCAATTTCAAGAAGGCCAGGTTGCTGAAGACTAACCACCAAGTGAGTTATGTAAAAAGCCAACAAAGACCCCTCTCCTGTGATGAGTGGAATTTTCTGGATGGCAAACAGGTCCAAGACCAGCATTTATTTCCCATCTCTAATAGTCCTTGAAATTAGTAACTACGTGGTGAACTACCATGATGTGATTCTTATACAGATATCAATAATTTATCAGAGATGGTAAGAAATGCCGATGCTGGAGTCAGAGATAACACAGTGTGAAGCTGGAGGAACACAGCATCGGAGGAGCAGGAATGTTGATGTGTTGGGTCAGACCCTTCTTCAGAAGACCCTTCAGAAGGGTCCCGACCCGAAACGTCAGCTTTCCTGCTCCTCTGAACAATTTATGAGGTTGGTTCATTGAAAACCAATTGTTGAGTTGATGTTTCACACAAGTGTATATTCCTAATCAAATTGCTGGAGCTGCCAACTTACCATTCTTACTCAATGTAATCCACTTTAACAATATAATTTGAAAGACAAAATATTTGAAACTCTGATTTTGTTTTTCTCCCAGTTTAAAATAACTGTTGAACAAACGAACTTCACTTATTCACTGTATTCTGGTTATTCTGGCAACGTTACATTTGTTACCGGCTGTTTGCCTTAATAAAGTGATGGTCAGCCTTCTTTTGTAGATACTGCTACTGGTTTTCATATGCTAACATGAGGGCGTGCCAGAGTAAGAAAAGGATGGCTTATGTTTAAATTAATATGATGTGTGACTTGATGACATGATGACATTCTCACAATGTCACTGCCCTTATTTGTTTGATGGCAGACAGGGCTGTGAGATACTGTTGAAGTCAGATCTGTGAACTGCTGCAGTGCGATTTATACAGGTGCCACAATATTCTGATGTAGCGTAAGTGGATCTGGTGTTTTAGAGGCTTGTGGTGACAATCAACAGTATTGTTTGACCTGAAGACCAACAAGCATCTTCAGTATGTCTGGAGCTCCCCCATAATATATTTTAAACAGCCTCTAATCTTAACCATGTTGTTGGTCTGGTTGGTCCAGCTGAGCCTACGTTTAATTGTTACAAGTTGGACATCAGTTTTGCTTGAATCCCTTTTTGGTCAAAACTCAAGTGATTACCTCTCCTCCTGTGTTCAGTTCTTGTACTTATGGCTAGATCAATGTCATCATGAGTTGAGTATCTCTAGTAGAAAAAGAGTTGATGAACAGTTCAGGAGCTATCTGATTAAACTTTAATTGTTTTACTTTTTGGAAAGGCCTGCACAGTAATTCATTGGGTTGGATATATTCTGTTTGTTACGGATAGATTATACCTAAGCAATTTTCCACAAGTAGATGCTAGTTCCATAGTTGACCCAAAGAGATAACTGCTCCAGGGTTTTCTAATGTTGAGTCTAATGCTACTGATAAAAGTTATGGGAAGCACATATACTTGCCCTGTTGATCTTTGTGCTTTCACTCAAGGCTCACTTAGGCCACATCATTACCAGTAATAAACATAAACCAAAATAGTTCACTCTGTGCTTCTCAAACTTCCTTGGGCTTTGCCCAAATTCGCAGAATTTCATGCCCATATGCCCAGCATGGAGGAGAGCAAGCCCAATGCGGGGGCGAGTGAGCCCTGAAGCGACATCAGCGAGGTGGGCCAATCGGCAAAAGATGGTACCCAAGGATCGATGATTTTCTCATGTTGGTTGGGTCTGGCGGTGGCAGGAAGGGCACCATGGCAACATCGAGGTGGGCCACAGTGAGAAACTCTGACTGTGGTGGGTCTGGTGCAGGCAGTGTTGGAGGTGAATTGGCCCAGTAACAAAAGAGCTGGCTCAGAACTCAAATGAAGATGGACTTCTCTTTAAGCTATTTCTTTTCATTTTTGTCTTATTCTTAAACTTACAAAATGGTGCCGTATTGTGGCGATTAATGAAAGCTTTTCACTGTATTTTATTGTATTTCTCACTGTAAAATACATGTGACAATAAAAATCATTCATTCATTCAAGCTGATAGTTTATATTGACAGAAGCTTCCCTGTCTTCCTTCAGTTCTGTTTGGCCCTTATTTTCTCCACTTTCACCTCTGTTTGATTTCTTTCTGTCTTTCTTCTGGAACCAAGTACAAGGCGACCAGGGGATAGCATGTCAGTGGATAACTCTTGGATTTCCAGAGCAGAAAGCCAGCACAAAAACAATGGACTGGTGGTCTCCTGTATTTAACATCGTCTTTGTCTTTAACTTTTTTTTCTCTTTTTTCTTTTATCTTCCGTCCACATTTTACCTTTCTTGCTACTTTACAGAATTGTAGCTAGAACAACTTATAATTTTAGCTCCTTTTACATGAAGAAATGTCCCAAGGCATCTCACAGAAGTAATTATAAAAGAGCACAACACTGAGCCACATAAGGAGATAGTACGTACATTGAGCAAAAGCTTGAGCAGATAGGAATATTTAAGAAGGTGTCTTAAACGAAGAAAATAGGGTTGAGAGGTGAAAAGGTGTAGAGAATGTATTCCATAGAGAATGTATTCCAGAGCTTAGGTTCTAGGCAACAGATTTGGAGGATGGAGATATGTTGCTTTAGAGGCTTGTGGGGTTGGAGCAGATTACCGATATAGGGACTGGGAAAGCCCTCGAGAAATTTCCACACAAGAACGAGAAATTTGAAACCAAGCCATTGCTTGACCAAGACCCCATGCAGGTCAGCAAGCACAACGGTGAAAGGGAAACAAGACTTGTTGTGAATTTAGACACAGCATCAGAATTTTGGATGACCTCAACTTTACATATGCTGGAATATTGGAGACCAATTCATAAGTGTGATGGAATCATTGAGCCTAGAGGTAGTTATTGCATTAAGAGAGCATTGTGAGCATCATGGAGACAACAAGGGAATGAAGCAGTTTCAATCAGGCAGCAATAAGTGAGAGTTATAGGTGTCACATTGAAGAAGCCGAGGATAAGGCTTATTAAAGAAAGTAGATAGCAAGATAGTGAAGCAGTTGGAGAGTAGACCACTGGAGGAGCTGCAGAGATGACAATAAGGAAGCAGCAAAACAGGTTGCTGAAGTAGAAATTGACTTCGAGATTAGTTGTGGTCATTGTCGCTTGGGATATTCCAATTCATTCCAGGCAGAGGCTGTGTCCATGATATGCCTCAATCATCACTTAAATATTACATTAATTGAACTTTCTTCAATGAAAATTTGTAAACATTTATCATAAAAAGTATATCCACAAATTTGACATGATGGAAAATGAATAAATGTTTGTATTGAAAACGCCGAATTCCTTTTAACTCAAAAGGATTATCTTTGTTGAGACATCTCAGTACAAATTTGTTACAATGCCCAGTGGATTAAAAGCATCGCTGGAAACTGCATGTTATACTTGTGAGAAAATAGTTATGCAAGCAGTTGTTGACAATGCTGCTATGCCGTACTGCAGCTATCACATTCCAGTAAAGTGTTTTTTTGTGTGTGTTGTACAAAACACAGCTGCAGCAGCTGGAGATCTGTTTGGAGAGGTTTCAATAGCTAAAAATGTTAAAATGGCTTTTTGTCAAAAGTATACACAGGTACAGCTTCAAGTCATTTGTTATGCATTAATTCTTGAAATCAGCTCAACTATGGGGTCAAAGATCCCATAGTGCAATGTGGCCACCATCCCGAGTTAGTTATCACCATTATTTCATTATCACTGATTTAGAGTCTTAGAAGTCCCTCCCTGATACTATTGTGAGATAATCATCATCAAAAAGACTGCAATCGTTCACAAAGAAGATCCATTTACATTCTTTCAGAATTAGGAATAAGCAAAAAAAAACATTTTTAGAGTCATTGAGATACATAGCATGGAAACAGACCCTTTGGATCAGAAATTGGCCAGCTGTAAGAAGACAGAGGGTGGTGGTTGATGGGAAATGTTCATCCTGGAGTTCAGTTACTAGTGGTGTACCTCAAGGATCTGTTTTGGGGCCACTGCTGTTTGTCATTTTTATAAATGACCTGGATGAGGGCGTAGAAGGATGGGTTAGTAAATTTGCGGATGACACCAAAGTTGGTGGAGTTGTGGATAGTGCGGAAGGATGTTGCAGGTTACAGAGGGACATAGATAAGCTGCAGAGCTGGGCTGAGAGGTGGCAAATGGAGTTTAACGCGGAAAAGTGTGAGGTGATTCACTTTGGAAGGAGTAACAGGAATACAGAGTACTGGGCTAATGGTAAGATTCTTGGTAGTGTGGATGAGCAGAAAGATCTCGGTGTCCATGTGCATAGATCACTGAAAGTTGCCACCCAGGTTGATAGCGTTGTTAAGAAGGCGTACAGTATGTTAGGTTATATTGGTAGAGGGATTGAGTTTCGGAGCCATGAGGTCATGTTGCAGCTGTACAAAACTCTGATGCGGCCGCACTTGGAGTATTGCGTACAGTTCTGGTCACCGCATTATAGGAAGGATGT